TTTTTTAGTTGAAAGTTGGTACATGTGCACCAGCATTGAATGTTTCTTGAAAAGACCCATGGTTTCTTTGGTGATCAGTAGGGTAACTAAAACAAGTTATAGACGAATTACACAGGAAATGGTGGCCAAGGCTGATTTTAAACAAGGGCCAATCAATTAGAAATCTGGATCTTTTTAAAGGATTCTACGATATAAAAAAACTTTCTATGTGCAGGTCAATCCTCTTTCTCGTGTTCAATCACGTGGTGTATTGAGTGAACGTCACCATGAAATTGTTCACTCATGTGAATGTCCCTTTAACCGCATACACATATATACAACTGTTTTGTGCACGGAAGTCTAATGAGTTAAGCGTTACATATTACTCGTGTTGTTACAATGGCGTTACAAATCCGGGGCTAATCTGCACTGGCTCGGAAGGTTGTAAATGATTAGCTAGTTTGAATTTGCATAACAATACTGACAATGAACGTGCATTCAACGCCACAAGTTTTTTTGTTTTTTTAGCCAATCAGAATTCATCTTCCGAGCCAGTGCAGATCAGCCGGGAATCCGGTTAGGCATACTAGTATGTGGATGTAAGAGGGCGTCCTGCAACAGGTCCACGTCTACGTCACGGTAGATACGACCAAAAGTCGCATTGTACTTACTACAACTCTTCAGAACTTGCGAAACAGGAACAGGTTCAATATACACTTCATTTGCAATATAATAATCTGATTATGATTCATCAAAACTTCACTTAACAGCATGTTCGCACACAATGAAGGAAAAAATGTCCTTTGGTCATGGTTGTTCATTTTCTTCAAACCCCTAGGCTGGACTTATCTGTCAATATGTCACTTTTCATGAAGTGTCAAATGCCTTCTAATTACTAATAATTATGCATGCATACTTTTGTTAATTAAGCACATTTATTTTCACAGATTATCAATCATCATATACTTGCACGGGTTATTTTTGTTTAAGTTTGAAATTAAATTAATGTGGTGTTCACTGTTCAAACACCCTTGAATATCAAGGAAAGTTAAAAAAAATGCTATCGCTGTTACAGACTGCTGAAAATAAAAATATTGTAATAGTGTTACACATATGATTATATATTGACTGTGATTGAGTTGTATTCAGCGTCTGTCATAACATTGACCTGTATCAAGCGGTACAAGTTGTATTAATTGCTTATTTGTATGATATAACTTAAAATCCAATGAAAGTCGTCATACATGAGTGAAGGCAGTCAAAATGATCTGAATATGCCTCGAAAAGTCACTTTATTCGTACATATTATAAGACAAATAAAATCAATCAGTTATATAAATGATGTTTATTATTATTTTTGTTAAAAAACCCCACATTTTTAGAGTACGTTTTACCTCATGTAGAAATTGACAAACAGACGCGGATAGTTAGTTATAGTTAGTTAGGATAGTTAACATATTTATTAATTTTCTGACTCCTGTCATAATGCTATGACGTATCTATACTGCTATGACGTATCTATACTGCTATGACGTATCCATAATGCTATGACGTATCCATAATGCAATGACGTATCCATAATGCTACGACGTATCCA